CAGACGATTTTTCTGTTCATCTGCGTTTCTTTATACATCTTCGTTTTCCGTCATATTCAGATGAATTTTCTGCTCCATCTGTATTTCTTCTCTAACATCATCATTTCATATTCCAGACGTTTTCTGTTCATCTGCCGTTTGCCCTCAGGCCGGGATGGCTTGTCACTGCTTGGGCTGTCGTCTCTTAGATGACTGTAAGGCAGGTTCTATATATAGGTAGAATATTGATAGTGCAAGGAAGAGTATAAAAGAGAGGAAGATTCTTGTAGCGTGGCTGTGATAGATATTTACACTTATCGTATCTATAAGTCAATACACATCTATTACGTCTTATATGACTTCAAACACCGCTTCGTTACAACTCTTATTAATTACGAACATGACATGGACACATTAATAACACCTTCTATTGAGTTACTAGACATCATATTACGTTACTAGACACTGATTTCGGACACGAACATGAATGAATACACTTCCCACGTAAGTAACTCATCCCATGGAAAGTTTTGACAAAACCTCACGACCCAGGGGAGGCCTCTAGCAGGTGGTCCTGGGTTGTCTCTATGGGAGACTGCGACACCGAGTCGAGGGGCACCTGCTCCTGACTGGAGGCGACCGAGGCGGCTTGCCTCCGGCCCCCTGACTTCTTGAGCAGGACTGGGGACGGTAGCGTCCCTTCTGGTTATTATAAGACACAATTTCTGTTTCTCTCTGTCTTCGGCAGAGGGAGGACTAGTATCCTATATATTGGGAGACGAGCCGTCAGGCTGAGCTGATCGGGGTGGGGCGGCGGCGGTCTCCCTTAAGACGGCCCTCAATGTAGGTCAGGTCTGGACTTTTTCAGAGACTATAAGTTGTATATTCTGGAGAAATCTTCAGATGGGGGGCCGCAGACATGAGAGGCCCTGGTTGATTTTAGGCCCCTTGACTTGGGGCCAAGTAGGGTTGGCATTTGACCTGCTAATGTGAGGTCAGGTCTGGACTTCTTCTGGGATGTAGGTTATTGTGCAGGCTGGGAGAGAGGGCAGGTGCCTCTCTACAAGTTTGCTGGGCCGTAGACATGGGAAGGGGAGCTAGTTGATTTATAACCCTTGGGCAGCTGCGAGCTACCTTACACTTGACCCCTACTGGGTCAACAAGTCTGACTGTTTTCGAGATGTAAGCTGTGGTCTGACAACCCATCACTACACCTCCTGCCACATTCAAAGCCATGCTCAGGAGAACCGATGACACATTTAAAGTAGACAGTAACATCATGTGCAGTATCTAATATAGTCCCTGAGGCGATAATGCATCCTTACATTTACAAATTATGACACTAGAGATGTATGTTTTTCTACTGGTATAGTTTGATCTGACAAAGCTTACTATGCCTCCCGCCAAGATTAAAAGCTTCTATGACAGGAGAAAAAAAAATACTTTTACACAATAAGTGAACATAGAGAGATCTAAAGATCCGGTCAAGTATTCATATAGTGTCCGAGGCAAACTTGCAAATCACATTCTACAAACAAACACAGGTGGGTTACATTGCCTAACCAGGCCGTGTCAAAATAATAATTGTCCCGCCTCAGTAGTATGTCTACAACATTGCATTTGGTACAAAAACATTGGATCAAAATGAACTCATAGCAAGTGATCAATCTTAAAAAACATTCTTGTAGTACATGTTAACAAAAAAATCAGAGAATGAAATACTTCAAAGTACATAAAAAAAAATGCTCCTACTTCACATGTTAGGGTGTTATATCTTTTATTGCTATCGCTAAACATCAACAACATCAGCAATATTTGTTGGGTCCAGCATGGCTCAAGTCCTCCGTCCAGCTGGTATCTGAAATAAGGTATGCGGAGCA